ATAGGGAGCAGGTCATGGATAAAAGGGATATCGCTATGGATAAAAGGGATATCACTACTTCAGTTTAACTTTAGCCAGAGTATTACTGTCTCATCTGTTTTCCTCTTCATTTTATATGAGTAAAACCTCCCACATTCCTGAATGGAATGACCTAATACAGTCCTCATCATTACGTACTGTCGGGGCGGTTCAGTGCGGCTGCGTTTGGCGCGGGGCCAAAGTCGTTCTGCACCAGTTGTTGAAGCGGGCAAGTGACATTACTGTATTATATCCTTCGTATTACTCGTTTTCTACCACTTTTTGTCGCATACGCGTTTCAAAAAGGCTGAGAACGGCTTCAACAGTGTGCACACTCATACTGGCTGACACGCCCCACCGGTCCGCAATGATGAGGACTGTAGGTGTCCAGTATGACGCACCGGAAGGCGTGTAATCAGAAACAAAGAAAAACAAATGGTTGGAAAAAGAAACCACTCCAAAACACAGATGGTCCGTTACGCTTCTTCCTCCTTAAAGGATAAAAGGATAAAGTCTTCGCCGTTGATCAATCCCTTTGTGGGATGCGGCACGCATTCTACTTCCATTCAGAATCGTAGTGGCTTATTGAATGCGATGTGGCCTATACAATGAAATTGCGGAGCGGGTCAGTGTTGTTATCCTTCCAGACGAATCTAGAACCAATTTATTGTCCGCAGAAGGTTCGGGTGGTCTGGGGGAGTCGACCCGAGATTTGGTCTCCGGACCGGGCGCGTGCATAGAGTACTTCTTGCCACTGCACCACTTCCTCAGATGAGCCGTCGTTATTTCGTGAAACCCGAAACTAAGAAGACAATTGTCCGGTGGGAGTAATAGTGGGCGCGGCCACGCCTATGAGCGCACAGTTTTGAGCGTTTACTCGCAATGTGCTCCTATTCCTCCGTACCAGCAAGCTGCCGTTAACTAAGTGGCCGCACTGCACGTCGCGCGTTTCGTCGCGTGCCGTTCGCGGGGTAGTGACATATAGTTTGGGATGACCTTATAATTACTTTTTCGCACCTCGGCATACTTGCCAGTGGGATACCCCAGATTAATTGCTTACACGCTGACTGGTGACGCAGTAGTTTACTTACTATGAGTTAAGTTGAATTAATAAGTGAAGAGTCTAAGAATGGATTTCAAATGGGTGAGTATCCACTGTGTATAATTTTCGCTAAAGATTTATTAATGTTGTGTGGTGGGTGTTTTTTTTGAGGAAATCCATTGAATTCCTTTGATTCAGCCGGAGAGAGTTCGAATTGGTAAGTGATACGGGGGAGAGGGGCGGAGGGGGGGGGGGGGTGGACGGGAACATGGATGATGGATGATGGGTGGCAGGAAGTGATAACAGCTGACATGGGGTCTTAAAAAGGGAGGGTCACCAAGTTCATAACTTGCGCTGCAGCTGTGGAGCGTTGATTCCAAGAAGTGACATAGGGGGTTGGATATGAACTTCATTGGTGGGTGGCAGGAAGTGATATTAGCTGACAAGGGATGATAATGGGTGTTAGGTGAAGGTCGCCAAGTTCATAACGTGGGTTTCAGCATCGCTGGGATGTTTAGTCCTAAGAAATGACATAGTGAACGTATGGGTCATGAATATTATTTATGGGTGGCAGGACGCATTAAGAATTATTATGATCTGAGAAGGGAATCTGAAACTCAAGCGTCGCCCGTCACAGTAGCAGCAGGAAATTGGTTCCAATGAGTGATATAGTGGATGTGACGGGGTTATTACTGATGGGTCACAGAGAGGGATAACAACTGATAGGGGCAGATAAGAGGCGTTACCCTCTTCCACACTACCAAATCATAAAGATTTTGTGGTAATGGATCACGGGTGACAAGGGAGCTCTTATCTCTAAGAGATAAGAGCTTATTTCCTCCTAATTTTTTACCACTATACTTCTAGGTTCACCGTATTTCAGGCCAAGTATACAGCACCTATTGTTTTACTGCACGTCCAACCAACGGGAGGGGGGAAGGGTAGTTCACGTGAGGTCTACACCACAAGCAAGAAAAGAATCAGCGATAATTATACGAGAAAGAAAAAAAACTTAGCATTAATCGCGATTTCACTATGGTAAACATTTCGCATTTTTTTCGCGCCAGGCGCGCAGTAGTGTGCGCCAGCCAAACTGGTGTTTCAATAAACAAAGTAATGAGGTTTTTATTCATTCATAATACTCGGTTATTCTGTCTTGAGTGAGCCTGGCAGTGAGAGGTCACCAGTCAGCGTGCAAGCAATTAATCTGGGGGTATCCCACTGGCAAGTATGCCGAGGTGCGAAAAAGTAATTATAAGGTCATCCCAAACTATATGGTCACTCCCACGAGCGCGCAGTGTTTTCGTCGCGTCCCATTGCGCCCCGCGGCACTCTGACGGCATTGCTTCGCGAAGTTTCTCATACTACAGTTAAGCGAGTGCAGCGCAAAAGGCGGTGGCGCCAAGGCCAAATAGATTAAGCGTGACTTTTCTGCGGTAGTTGCTTGTGAACGTAGCTCGGATTCCTGCGTTTGCGCCGCTTTATTCCGCTAATAGCGCATGCCTCAAACTACAATGTGGATCGCTATTGAACAAAGGTATATCCGTAAACTCTTTCCGCGAATTCAGCAGGAGAACTTGTTGCACGCATGTTTTTAGAACGTCACTATAGTGAGTAGCTCTAAAGAATATCGCCAAGAAAATCAAGACTACCCCTTGTGCTGCTTTTTTTCGATTTTTATGTTCAACAACGACCCACTGTCCCTGAATGCCGTAAGTCGGCCCATGTAAGTGCTGCAACGGAGAACATTCGTCTCTTCTGCCGACGGACCCTTTGCAGGACACATCTTATCATAAGGCCGGAACGGAGAGTCAAGAGTCAGAAGAATTTTTCCCAGGCCAAATACGAGTCCATGCTCTTCAGCTAGCCGAATCAATTTCCCTTTCCGAAGTCTGCAATGATAGTGCTCCTCACCTTTTGTCCTTAGGTCCGTCATGCGATGCTCAGCCTTTTCATCATCACACTATTCTTTTTCTGTCTAAATCGCAGGGCCGGATCGGTTGGTCTTCAGGCCTCTTCGGTACGTGCCCACACCATCGCAGTCGCTGCCCTCGTGCCTTCAGCTGGATCGGATCCGTCTGTGTGACCGGCCTGGCGTCCTCGTTCCTGACTCTGTCCATCGTGCCCAGCCGCAGGCCCATCTCAGCATCCTCATTTCAGCTGAATGGAGCTGCCTTTCATGGTTCTTGCAGATAGGCCAGCACTCACTACCGTAGAGCATTGTAGGTCTTAATACGGACCCGGTTACACCTTCGCCCTCGAAGTTCTCGAGCACCGCTGGTTGCAGAGGATGCCCGCTGGACTCCCTCCATTTCATCCAGGCTGTGTTGATGTTGCCTACCGCCCACTCCACGCTACCATCTCTTCAGATACTGGAATTCCTGGACCCTTTTGATGCTTTCGCCGTGGCGGTCTACTGCTGGGTTTCGCGTGCATCTCGAAAGGCCCAGAAATTGGTCTTCTTTACATTGGGAGTGCATTCTCAGCAAACACGTCCTGCCCATCCATTATCTGGGCGATATCATCAGAACAGAGTATGGCTTCAAAGGCCACTCCACGGAGAGCGACCGCTGAGGCTGACCGTTTGATTGCACACAAACAGATGGATGCTCTACTTTCTGTTGCGGAAGCCGTGTGCGGTGCCCGTAAACCGCTATGCCCCATCGCACATGCCCTCCACTATGGAGCTAAGTGTTCTGGAACGTTTCGTTCTCTGAGCGCTCTCCAGAGCACAGGTCGTTGCAGGCAATCGGTGCTTCTTGAGGTCTAGGAAGGCTGGAAAGTAGGTTCGTCGCTTCTCTCGATACCTCTACATACTGTCCGGCGATGAAGAAGGTGTCAGGGGTGGACTTCAAGGCCAAAGCCGAACTGCTCTTATGAGAATTGCAAAGTTTCCATTAGCTTTGTTGTTCACTGTCCGCTCGTACAGCTTCATGGTATGCGGAGCCAACTTGATGCCGCGATAATTCAATAGCCGATAGGGCTTTTCGTGCAATGCACAAAGTAAAATAAAATAAAGGCTTCATTGAGGACTTTTCAATGGCATCTTTAACCACTTCTTCATTCACGAGTCAGCTTGCACCTGCGAGTTCGTATTTGTAACTCACCAAAAAAAAACCAACCAAACGTGAGAGTGCGCAGACTAGTAAGGTTCCGTTCAGGGCTAGACCTGCTGCAGATCGTGTTGCGTATTGCGTGCCCGCAAAGTGATTTTCGGCAGATGCATAAACAAACATTCGGCTATCAGAACCCTACAGCTTCACTGTTTAACTCGTTAGAAGGGAGGATACTAGGGGTGAACAACTGCTGCTCACTCCCTTTATCTCCCCTGAATTAGAGATTCACTCCAAGTACCATAAGCACCAGTTCCTTATGACTCAGTTTTTCATATAACGTCTGGAACAAGATGGAAAGCGCAATAAATCGAAAAATATTTATACGATATTTAAATGCGGTCTCTTCAATGTACAGACAATAAACGTTTCGTGTTTCAGCGCTTCTTCTTACTTTCCAGCATATGAGCCACCGGAAGAAGCATAACCGCCACCGCCTCCGCTAGAAGCGTAGCCGCCACCGCCGCTAGAAGCGTAGCCACCACCACTGCTTGGGTATGACATTGGTGGTGGAGCAGCGTATCCTCCGCCGCCACCGCCTCCGCATGATGGAGCAGGTGCAGGACATGGTGGTGGACACGGAGGAGGACATGGTGGTGGTGCAGGTGCAGGGCTGAAAATCGAAGATGATCATAAAGCAGTAGGAAATAGTGGGAATCATTTCTGAAGAAAATGCCTGAACAGTAATTCACTTACCAACAGCTGCTACCGCCGCCGCCAAGAAGACCGAAGCCGAATGCCTCAGACGCCGCAAAGGCAGGCAAATGCGATGATCAAGTACTTGAACATCCTGCAAATATAGAAGTATTTCACTGAAAGGAAATCGTTCTTCTAAAGATGAGAAAGCAAGTGAAGGGTTGAGGATGTTGCTTTCACATCCTGCAAATATAGAAGTATTTCACTGAAAGGAAATCGTTCTTCTAAAGATGAGAAAGCAAGTGAAGGGTTGAGGATGTTGCTTTCTCTTTGGCTGCTTCCTTATATCCTCTAGCTATGCAAACATCGAGTTTCACTTTCAGTTCCAAGCTGCGATGATGATGTTCAGCAAAAATATGCCAAGGTCACTAAAAACTTCGTAAGCTGAAGGTGGCATCCATCAGATCATGCCGGCACATGATATTCCAATGCGAAGGTCGTTAATTAGTCAAATTCCGGTGATTTTCAGTAGGCACCTTTCATTGGGGATGTACAGTTGGCCGACAAATGGTACATGTCGTGGTTTTATAAAGACCCACAGGCTACTGAACTTTAAGAACGGGAGAAAATAATTGCAGTCGAATGCCCGCACTGCGGGCAATTCATCCCAAGCGCCATGACTGCACAAAAAGCAGTACACATCGTGCCAATGGAAGAGTCCAGGCCGATTAGAAATTTTGCTGCGAAGCGTAAAAAGGGACGAAATTATGGCTCCATCCACAATCTCCCTTTGAGGAGTCCTAGAAGCACAACGTGTCTTGATGCCAAGTTCTAATGGAACGTCTCATGCCGACCATTCCGGTCTTCCTCTGAATGTCTGTTATCTGCTCCGCACAATGCAACGCGATAGGAAAAACAAGCTCCAATAACTTTGGAGAGCTGAAAACTCCAGAATAAGCTAATGATAAGCTCGGAGTTTCAAACGATTCCTTGCGTACGTCTGATTTTAAAAGAATTAGGATGGGATCAGTGCCCTTGAAAATATTGGGTTGGCCTATAAGTAGTGGTTTTCTCCTTACACAAAATTTCATATGAAAAGTGGGAATCGTTCTCAACGTGCTCTACACTGTTTGACCGATAATCTTCTACCCTACAAAACAGCGGTGTTGCGTCCCTACTATTTTCTTGATTTTTGTCGATTTTTACTTCATTGAAACGGAATGTCGGGTCGACCTAAAAGTAAGTTCTCGACAGCAACCTTTTGCCCTTTATCTCAGCTCTCGAATTGCAGAAGGAGATCAAAGATTGCGATATGCATGAGCCTAGGAGTAGCGCTTCTTAGGACGGCTTAATACTGCTCAGGCATTCGAAGATGGGAATTTGGACCTTGTGAATGTGCATCGCATGGGCCTCCCTCTGGGCACTGCCTCCAGAAGATATCCACAAAGGTTTAAATTTCTCCCATCCAGCGAAGATGATGCTCAACGAGAATGTGGAAGCATTCCATCGCATTTAACCACGTCCCCATACTTTGTCGTGAATCTTCACAAATAAGTTGATTCAGTAAGCTGTCATTGGAAGCTCATGACGGGAGGCATTAGCTTCGTTGGCTTCCTGTGAGGTCACAAATGAATGTATTTGAATAGTCGCAAACCGTTATAAAATTTTCATAACATAAATTGTTAGGTCTATTATACAGGATTATATCAAGGTTGTCTCTGATTAGATGTGGAACAGTAGAAACTTCTTGGGGCCTGACACTCGCAATGAGCCTTTTGGGAGGTAAGAAGGATATCTTGTAGAGGATGGGTCTCCGCAACCAAGTAGCTGAACCCTATGCAAAACCTTTCGCTTTCAGAAATTCGGAAATAGGTCAACAGTAACCTAGGGGGGATCCATCAGCTTCATCCATCGCGGCGTCAGGACATAATGTTCTGACCCCAGAACTCAGGTGCAGTTTAGCGCATCAGTTCATAGTGAAGTCCTAGCACTCTTACTGTTTCTATTGCTACTTTCAGTCATCCTATCGTAACTATGCTCTTCATCAGCTGGACTGTCAACCTGAGTCTGACGCTAGCACCGGACGTTTTGGCAATTTTTGCATAGCATAGCTTTGCCTTGTTGGGAACGAACACTGCAGACATGGACACGGCGCTCTTATATACTGAGCTATTTTTTCTCTTTCCTTGATAGAAACTTCTTGAAAAAAAGTTCGCCTTATCCTTACTCTTCGAGCAGACTTCTTATCAACGTTTGTGATGCCAAATTTGCAGGAAAAAACCCTTGAAGTCGTTTTTCCTGAAGGTGGTAGTGCAAATGCTTGATGATTTGCGGTTCAGAGGACAGAACGAAGCTCATTTCACAAAGATGTACTCTGCCCGTCCATTTATTCATGATTTTTTCTTCAAAAAAGTGCTATGAATAAATAAAGAGAGTTTAGCGGCACGGCAGCATCGCGTGGGCTGCTTTTTCCAGGATTTTATGCTGATGGAATTGTTCAGCATGGAGAGTCCACTATAAGGCATCGGGATGGGAGAAATGGCGGTGTGAGATATCGCCCCCCCCCCCCGCCCCAATATTTAATCAAGTAACCATGATAGTTTTTCCAAACTAACGTACTGTAGTTGTTCTAACTCCCACATCCTCCCAAGGTTTCCGAGAAATTTCGCGTCTTCCCCCAGAAAATGCCGACAAGAGCAAGGAGGGGAGGAAGGTCGACACCCATGACTACCTTCTCTATTGAAATAGGCAGTTGATTGTATCTCTATTGAAAATAGCAGTTGAATAACTTTTCGAATATGGACGCATTCTTACTCAACAAAACGGGTGTATTCAATGCAATATTCTAATAAACTGGATCTTCAGTTGCTGTGAAGAGAGGGGTTTTCAGCTATTCTGCTCTTTGATGCAAGTTTGTTAGCATTCCCGTTGAACATCGGAATGATTTCTGCCAAGAATGATCACTTTGTGTCGATTTTCGATCCCATACTGCTTTCATAGGGCGAGCAGTTATGCCAGTAAATGTGGTGAGGGCTGTTAAGGGAGATCCGTTTTGCCATCTAATTGGATGACGTGATCTCGTGATGCAGCTGTAAAAAATTCAAGAAAACCACATTCGTAAAACTGGATTAAACTGCCGTTACAGCGTCGCGTCACGTAGACTGTTGCAAATAGTTCTGGATAACCGATTTACGCACTAAACTTGATCTCTGCATGGTTATCGTATATAAGGGGACCGAGAACATGACACCTTCATTCGCTTTCGGATTGCTTCTTATTCTAGAATGAGCTTTTTGCCTTAAGAAAAGTCATTTTCTTATTTTCAGGATGTTCAAGTACGCGATTGTCGCGTTTGCTGTCTTTGCAGCATCTGACGCTTTCGGCTTTGGACTCATGGGAGGCGGTAGCAGCTGCGGCTGGTAAGTAAAGTTATCTGGAGGCATCTTCTTCCAAAAATTGTTCCACTTTTTTTCTACTGTTCGAAAGATCGCCTCCATGTCCGCCTCCATGTTCCACCTCCCATGTCCTCCACCGTGTCCACCACCGTGTCCTGCACCAGCTCCATCATGCGGAGGCGGTGGCGGCGGAGGATACGCCTGCTCCTCCACCACCTCCACCACCACCAATGTACGCTTCTAGCGGTGGCGGTGGCTACGCTTCTGGCGGTGGCGGTGGCGGCTACGCTTCTGGTGGTGGCGGCGGCGGTTACGCTTCTGGCGCGGCTGCGGTGGCTCTTATGCTGGAAAGGTAAACAAGAGGGCGTAACGAACAAAAAACTATGATGTCTGTACATTGAAGCGATGGCATTTAAATATTGTATAAATATAGTTCACCTATTTATGTTGTGTACAGCAGCGATCAGAGCGTCACATCAAATGTCGGGCAATAACCCAAAAAAACGGAATCTCGCGCCAGAAAAAATGCACTCAATGTTAGACTCAGCAGCTGCTAGATTTTACAGCTGATTCAAAGGATCTTATGGATCACTCAAGCAGTTGAAGAAGGCACTGGTTCCTTGCGATTCTCTGAAAGCGATAGTGAATTGCGGAAGAGTAATAGGTTCACGACATTTGACGGGACTGCGTCAGGAAGCGTGGAATGAGTCACCACTAGTGTTATTCTACTAAACCTACCGCTATTGATAGAACAGCGTGCGAGTTTCTGACACTCCACTTGACGCTGCTGCGTCGGAATACGACACTAACAACTAGGTGTAAGGCAGGGTAACCCCAAGTACAGGTCGCACGGGTTAGGTAAGGCTCTGGAAAGTGTGTGGAAGTCGAAGAGGTTGTTAGGGTAAACGTGTAACTACTATTCACGAGCACTATTTTCCCTTCACTACCTCGATTTTCAACATTCAGGCCACAAATTGATCAAAATTCTTCCCCACAGCATTGATTTTAGAGGTTGTTAGTTTTTCATAACAAGAAAACCATACCAGCCTAAAGCGAATACGGTCGGCGCCCACGCCGCACCGAGCGCGCGTAAGCCACTTTCTGCGCCATCCACCGTTGCATCTTCAAATTAAGTGTTTCCATGTTTGCGATATTCGTGTTCAGGGAACCTAAATACCCTTAGAGACAAGAAAAATTCAAAGTTTTGAGATACTTCGACGCTGGCGCCAGCCGGTTTCAAGTCAAACGGATATGGTGCAAGTAGTCACTAAGGTAAGTTATGCTAAACAAGATCCTAACTAATTTTCTTCCCTTATTTAGCGAGATAATTTCAAATTCCGGTATTCCATACCTTCCAGTGTCGCAAAAAAAGCAGTATCGTTGTGGGAGAGAGAGGTGAGCGCTATTGGGTTGGCTCACAAGCAATGGCGCTTTTTCTTATACAATGTTTTATATGGAAAAGAAGGTCGTTTGCAATGGGTTCTATACTTTTCGAATAGATTATTTTTCGCTCTATAAGAACTGTGTGAGTGCCTTCCTACTATTCATTGAGCTCTGTCGATTTTGGTTTCATGAGATGGATGGTTGGGTCGACCCAAAAGTGAGTTTTCAACAACAACTTTTCGCACTTTATCTCGGCTCTCAATTCAGAGAGGACTTGTGATATAGATGACCAAAAAAGATGCTTCTGACGTCAACTTAAACTTAACTTAAAGTTTGTTCAAGCGATCAAGAGTTGGAAGTTCGGACCTTATGAATATGCATCGCATGGCGGCCCTCTTGAGCAGCGATT